CCGTGCAACCTCCCCCCTTCTTGACGGTCGATATTCTACCACCGCCGACAGTTTTTTTTCTCCTGAGCCCTCCAAACCACAAAAACCACCATCACCTATATTTTTATGCCTTAAGCTCAGGAGTTTTTTTTTCACTGCTGGATGGATTTGTGTTTAATCGCTTCCCTTGACAATGCCTGTAAACTGGCATTTAATTAAATTTAATTTGATATGAATCCACACAGGCGAGTGGCTTTCGGTGATATTTGTTGGACGTGGGGAGATAAATCAAGGGTATTTGTATAGCTGAGACCTAAATCTTTCACAGATTGGGCGTCTGTTATTTCATCATCCTCGAATATTATGGGGGGAAGTTTTTGTGGGCCAAATATCAGGAGATGGCATTTTTCGGGTGAAAAGGGCATCTGCCACTGACTACTCCATTCGCTGAGTTTTCTGAGATCAGTTTCAATTGTTCTATGAATATTGACTACTGTATTCCCGTTATATGCATATGCAATTTTAAGGTCGTCCGCATATAAAAACGTCTTAGCTGAGACAGATATGGACGATAAGTCGTGAATATATATAAGAAATAGAAGGGGGCCTGGGATAGTGCCTTGAAGTACTACACAGGTAATAGGGGATGGTTCTAAGACGACGTTTCGAATTTGCACCACCTGGTATCGGTTTTGAAGATAAGATTTAAGAAAATCAAGAAGGGGTGGCCTAATTCCATGACTTTTTAGCTTTATCAATAGTCCTTTATGGGGGACTTTGTCAAAGGCCTTTCTTAGATCGAAGTATATTGAAGCTACTGTGTTTCCATCATCTCTATTGCTGGAAACGAATTCCAAAAAAGTAAGGGGGCAGGACTGACATGACTTTTTGGGCAAAAATGCATGTTGAGAGGAGGGAATGAGGTTGGCGTTCATGAGATGGTCTAGCAATTGGTTATATACTATTTTCTCGAGGATTTTAGCTATAGCCGGTGTTCGGTGAACACCACGATAGTTTTGGGTATGAGATCGGTTGCCACTTTTAAATATGGGAGCAATGGTCGAGTATTTCCACATGTCCGGAAAAATTGCATTTGAGTGGAGTAGGGTGAATAATTTAGATAGGAGTATTGGAGCATATGTCATATGCTTCAGAATACATGGTGGGATTCTGTCTGTCCCATAGGATTTGGTGTTTGATAGTTGTTTAATGGCTACTTTAACAGTTTCTTCACTAAAATGGATCTCACTAAGGATGCGTTCAGTCATCTCGGTCGGTTGGGGGATGGTTCCCTCTTCGACTGCGTAGTTAGCTGAGAAGTATCTGTGTGGAAGTGTGGAAAAATAACTCACAGAGGGGTCGCGTAGCTGTTTTTGTAGCTTTTTTAGTTTAGTTGAAAGGAAGTTCGGGATTGGTGATTGCTTATACGGGAGTCTTTAGTCGATCAAGGTATCTCGAATTACAAATAGGACAGAGTATAATAGGTTAACTGCTTCCATTGGGGATGTTGTAAGAATATATGGGCTCCAGTCCAATGATCTAATGTGGTTGTTCCTGGAGTCCTCGTCAAGTTTTTTGTGTTTTGGTGGGTGTTACTAGAATGGGGTGCTAGTTTTGCGTTTAAGGGGAGTGTTGATGTTATTACTTTGTGGCCACTTTCAAAGGTTGCGCAGTCGTAGTGCATAGATAGGGGCCAGATATCGTTGGCGAAAATAACGTCTAGTATATTGCTTCCTCGGGTGGGTTTGTCAACTATCTGTGTCCAGTTATTAAGGATAACTGAAGACAGTCTCCGCTGACTCTTTCCTGGGGTTCGATATGCCTCCCAATACAGCATACTACATACTACATTCCCGTCCTTTCTGTTCAAAGTCGCAATAAATTTATCGAACTTGCTTTACCTAATCTACCGCTTACCACCCTTGCGCACCCTTCCGCATGGAAATCGTATTCCGTACGGTGGACGGCACAATGGTGTCTTTTGACCATAACCAACATCGCGCACCCGATGTCTCTCTACCCTTGCCTTTTTCAGAGAAAACTGCAAAACTGCAAAACTTCCCCTGAACAGCGCGAACAATACACGCACTCACGCCTGCCGATTGGTCAGCCCGCAGGCCAATACGGCTCACGTTCTAGCCCGGCCAGCAGCCTTAACACATGATGTGCTAGGCCACTTCCAGCCTTCTCATAGGCTGCGTTCTCAGTCTGAAGGTCATTTATGAGGTTCTTTTGATGCATTTAAACAAATGTTGGCGTAAATGCAATTTTTTAATTATCGTGTATTATATTCCTTGCTGTTTGGCACGTTTTAGAGGCCCGCACGTCCAACCCCTCCTACCACCATTCCCGTAAGACAGGCAGACGGGGGAAAAAGTTTTCTTAAGTGTTGCGACACTTTATTCACGTCAACCACTGTTTCAAAATCCGCTTGATTCACAGGTGACCTGTTTACAGAATCAAATAAATCGTCTGGTTCAAGCAAACAATCGTATCCACGGCGGGGGTGGAACTTTCAAGGCACACCATCACTGATCTCTACAGGGCACGAAAATGAACTGTTTGGACAGTCTCTCTAGATATGAGAAGAAAAGGCACCAAATATCTACCCGAAGATCTTAAGTCAAAAGGCTGTAAAAATTACGCCTTATCTTATGATCCTGAGCCCGATTGCGCTCAACCGTTCGAAATCCTCATACCCAAGATAAATCTAAATTAATTATCATCCGAGAATTTTGATACGTTTTGCATTAATTCTCATCCAAGTCCCTTAGTGGTAAAAAAACAACACCTAAATCCCTACAACTCCCTCTCTATAAACCATGGCTGATGTTGAATTCGCTGCCGATAAGTTAGATTTCTTGACCATCTCGTGCTTGCAGAGCTTTATCGCGAAACATGAACATACTTTTACGATTTTCGACTCGCTATCAGACTAAAATTCGTTTACAAGAGGTCAGGTCGAAATCGGATGTAAGTGTGTTGATGTCCGGGTGGGATAATGCATAAGCAGCGACATTGTCGCTGCCTCGGACCTTGCGGATATCTGCAGTAAACTGCGATATATAGTCCAGATGACGAACTTCCCTGGGCGAGTACCGATCTGGATTGGCCTTGAGGGCGTAAGTGAGAGGTTGGTGGTCGGTGTGAACGAAAAGTCTCTGCCCTCTAAGAGGTGTGGAAAATGACGAATAGCCAAGTTGATGGCAAGGAGCTCGCGATAGAAAGTACTGTTTCGAGTCTGCGCCGGTTGTAGCTCCTGTGAAAAGGAAGCCAATGGCTGCAACTGGTTATTCATCTGTTGATGCAGGACTGCGCTGAGAGCACTGTTGGAAGCGTCGGTGGTCAGGATAAGCTGTGCGTGGGGATCGGAGCTGAGATGGTGAGGCGAAGTGGCATCAGCAAGAGCTTTTTTAGCTGCCTCAAAGTCTGAGTGAGCTGCTGGAGAAAGTTCGATCGGCTTTACTTTAGACTTCAGAAAGTCCGTTAAGGGAGCTAGGGTCGCCGCACAGTGAGAGATAAAACGTCGGTAATAGTTGAGAAGGCCTATAAAACGCCGCAACTGAATTAGAGTCTTGGAGACAGGGAACGACAGGATGCTCTGCATCTTCTCTAGCAGCGGTGTGATTCCATGCTGGTCGACGTCGTGACCAAGGAAATCTAAAGAAGAGACGCCACAGGTACATTTGTCAACGTTTAATTGCAGACCATGTTGCTGAATACGTTGAAATATCTGATGTAAGTGCGAGGCATGTTCCTCTGCCGAAGAACTTGCGACGAGTATGTCGTCAATGTAGAAATAAGTGAATGAGAGACCCCGCAAAACCTCATCGATGAAGCGTTGGAAGGGTTGGGCCGCGTTGCGCAAACCAAACGGCATGTGAATGAATTCGAACAAACCGAAAGGCGTTGTGACGGCGGTCTTGGGGATGTCTTCTTCCTCGACCGGAATCTGATGGTATGCCCTCACGAGGTCTATTTTGGGAAAAATTGTTTTTCCAACTAGCGTGTGAGAAAAATCATGCATATGAGGAATAGGGTATCGGTCGGGAACAGTGGCTCTGTTGAGAGCACGATAGTCGCCGCATGGTCTCCAATCGTCAGTCGATTTCTTGGGTACCATGTGAAGAGGAGAAGTCCATGGGCTGGAGGAAGGACGAATAATTCCAAGATTCATCATATGCTCAATTCGTTCCTTGCTATCCGAAGTTTTTCGGGATGAAGACGGCGACGATGAGCGTAAACAGGTTGTCCCGTGGTGACGATGTGATGTTTAACCGTATGCTGAACCTCCTCAGTCAGCTGACAGGGCTTATTGAGGAACGAGTAGTCCTTCAAATTGTCAGCAAAAGGCGAGCTTCGTACGGTCAATTGGATGCTAACCGAGGGTTCAGAAGCAGCAATGCCAGTGGTAAAGAGTGTGGTTGTGGTGTCGACAAGTTTGCGATGCTTGAGGTCGACTGCAAGGCTAAAATGCGTCAGGACATCTGTCCCAGTAATGGGAGATTTGACGTCGGCCTGCAGAAAGACCCAATGGAAACGTCGCCGAATACCGATGTCAAATGTGAGCGACCGTTGGCCGTAAGTGTTGATGGTGGTGCTATTGGCAGCCTGCAATGAAAACTGCGAAGGCTTGAAATGGTGACGCCTTGAAGGCGGGATGACACTGATCTCGGCACCAGTATCGACAAGGAAACGGAGGTCACTCGACTTGTCACTGATACAAAAGAGGCGACTGGGTCGTGACTGGCCAGCGGCAGGTGTCGCCGTTACTGGCTGGCGCGGTTGTTTCCCTGTGGTGAGGCCTGCAGGTATGTGAAGGGAGGAATGCATTTGCGTGCTTTAGGACGGTAAATACGATGATACCAGCACAGAGTTGTAGAAGGGCGTTCGCGAGATCTAGGGCGATGGCGCGAGGATGACTGGTTTCTGACCGACTGTAAGCTATTTATAGCAGTGCATATGGTGCTCACTTGCGTGCACAAAAGACGTACAGTTTCGATTAGGTCGTTATAGTCGCCTCGGTAAGGACTGTTCGGCTGTCTTGATGGACCTGATGGCGTGGTGGCTCTGCATTATGAGCAACGACAGGCTGACCGCTCCACATGAGAAGTGTGGCGTTCTGGTGAAGGAGTACCTTCTGGACAGGGAATGGCTACTCTATCAGATCTGTCGGGAGTCGAGACCAGTTGAATATTGGCGCATGTCGCGCCGACTGGGTAACATTCACTGACCCTGTCGGCATGATTGGCCATTTTGTCTAGAGAGATGCTAATGTCCACCATAGACAAAACCTGCTGCGTGGGAACCCGCAATTTATCCAACCAGATTTGTCGAAAGATGTCGTCGTCCATATGACTACCGGCCAGCAATGAACGCATGTGGCGCATTAGCTGCAAAAGAGTTTGATCACCCAGTTCTACCTGTGTGAACAACTCCCGTAGCATCCGATTGGCCGACTTGGCCACTCTCTGGATGACGGCATTCTTTAACTGGGTGTACGGGTCGTTGGCAAGAATGGGGTCGAGGATGTCGAATTGGATGTGTTTGGTTTAGGTTTTTACCTGTGTTCAACGGAGACTAACAGTGCCCGAGAGGTGCCCTATTAAGCCTATTCTATTCTGTTCTGTTAAGGGCTGGGGCGATATTCAAGGTGTAGAGGAGAAATGCGACCGTGAAACCTCTTTGCTGACCAACCAAATCCCTAGCAAATGGCGAAAACAGAAGAATCCGTCATGATCATCGGCAGATCACTTGGGGTCGTCCATGAGATGATATTAAGACCCGCGAGAATCATCGATTGGGGGCAAGAGCTCGAAATCTCGGGGGGTGGGAGTGAATTTCTGATGAGGATCGGTGATTAGCAAGAGGGAGGCAGCTTAGAGCGTGCACGTCAACCTGGCCCTGCCAAGTCTTTGGGAGGATTCGCAAGGGATGACCTAGCGTCCCCTGAAGGACACGTCACGTTGACCGAAAAATCGAACAAATCAAAATTTCCGATGGGAAAGCCTAGAAGGCGAAACCACACGCAGAGAAGGAAATGAGAGTGGATACGGTAATTTGTCGTTGACACCCTAAATTTTCAACGGCCCTTCCTCAATGTCATAGAAAAAGTTATCCGGGAAGGATTAGGAGAATAAAAGCTCGATCGAGTCAATATTCAGATAAAGGCGCAGCCTTCTTTTAAAGTATGCAGATTATCTGATGATCTTATATTTAGTGGAAGGTTATCCCAGAGGACAGTATACCTGAACACAAAAAATAGAGCGCTTAGAGGTGGAGGAAGCGGGAGGAGGTATAATCAGAGAAGAATTACGAAGATCGTATGGACGAATATAAGGGGTGAGGGCTGAAATTCAGGGAAGATTTGACCTAAAATTAATGCGAAAGGGGGACAGAAGCCTACTTCCAGTCTTTGAGCCCATAAAAATTTTAGGTTGGTTATCTGGCATCTATCTGAGTAGAAAATATTTGGATGTACCATGCTTGAGAGTCTCCTGGTAAAATGTATTTGAGCATTTTTGATTTTGAACGACTGGCGTCGTTCATCGAACCAAGGAATGGACAGCAATACTCGAGGATGGGAAACACAAACATTCGATAAAGTCTTAACTTAATTTCAGGAAGGTAGGAATTGTGAGAAATAAAGCCACAAATGTGGGCAGTTTTGGCCGGAATTACGTCGACGTGGGACGAGAGATCCAGCTTATTGTAGTAACTTAAACCTTAGTCCTTGATGGCGGCACATTAATCATAGGTGTCTCTTGAAAGACTGCTGGATGTGGTAGCCTATCAGGTCCAAAACACATATAGCGACATTTAGATGGACAGAATTGCATTAGCCATTTTGAGTTCCATGCTGAGAGGGCAGGCAAGTCAGCATGGATTTGCTCCAGGCAATGAAAACTCGTAGATTTATTGAATGAATATACACATTTGAGATCGTCGGCATAAATAAATGGTTAAGAATGTTTAAATACCGACAAGATATCATTTATGTACGGCAGGAACAAAAGAGGACCTAGAACGGTACCTTTTTGGACATCACTTGTAATAGGGCTCTCATTGGAGAATGAAGATCCCACAAAAGCTTTTGTTTACGATTAGACAGGTATGGCTTGATAACATCTATAAGAGAACTGTGAATTCTCAGAGCCTTTAATTTAATCAAGCGTCTTCTATTTGGCACCTTATCAGAGACTTTACTGAGATCAAAATAAATAACAATATATACATGGTCATTACGAAGAGAAGTTAGTAGATTAAGAAACGACATTTGGCACGTTTCACAAGAGCGATCGGGTAAAAAGCCATGCTGGGAAGAGATAATAACTTGATTGGCTATGCAAAAGTCAGTAATTTTCATGGCAACCATTTTTTAAAGATTTTGATGAGAGGCGTTTTATGGACACATCGATAGTTTTGAACATCAGAAGAACAGCTAGATTGAAATACTGGAATAATAACAGAAGTTCACCGATCATCAGGAAAGAAACCATTCTCGAGAAAGACGGAAAAGTGTTTGCTATGCAGAGGAGGAAAATCTCTTGGCTGTTTTATAAGAGAGTCCGGAATATTGTCCGTACCTACTGAGTGGGAGTTAGTAAGATGGTTTATCGGTTTTGAATTGTTTCAGAAGAGAAATTAATGATGCTGAGGAATGCATCAGACAACGGAGGAATTGATGGGATTTGGTCAGTTTTGATGGTAAAATGTTTGGCAAAGAGTGAATATAGCATCTCTACTTTCGCTGACTCCTCAGTTATGAAGGTATCATTGGTACTAAGCAAAGGCCAAATGACTTGGTGGGATTTAGCAGATAATCTTTAACGGAAGATCTGAGCAGCTGATTAAGAAGTATTCGTGGCATCACTAGCTACAAACTCTCTACGCCTATCTCACGTGAGTCCCATTTTCGAAGCTAATTCAAATATTTCAACGATTCATATGTGAACTGAAAATGAGCTCGCAGAAGGATCTTTTAGCTGATTCCGTAGAGTTTTGTCTGTTTTTAAGAAAACGTGGGATATCGGGGAAATAGGACTCGATTTAAGCGGATTCTGTGGAATTAGGTCTAGAAGATCTTCTGTTACGTACTGTAATAACTTCTTGAATAAATTTAAATCATTATTTTAAATAATTTTGTGCCAATCAAGAGTGCTTGTAAAAGTATTTACTAATTCCTTGTTAATAATAGCAAAGTCAAAAATGCTACGTTGTACTGTTGGCTTTGTGGAAATGGCAAATGAAAGGCGACAATGAATTAATGCATGATCACTTGCAAAAAGGTCACGATTGAAATCCATTGATGGAGGGAAGATGCCATTAGTAAATTTAAATCTAATACACCATCGTTCTTGGTAGAATAGTGGAGTAATTGACACAATTTTGAAAGGCGAATGATGTCTAGAAGTTTCTGGAATTTAGGAGAGGAAGTATATGTGCGCCAGTCAATTTCTGACAAATTAAAATCTACGATAATCGAAGGAAGTCTCTGCGATTCTTTCAAAGAGTTCACAGAGTTGGCCTACATTTCCGGAGAAAGAAGGAGGATTTTATACATATCCGACTAAGAGTTTCCTATTTTCTGGGAGGATTACCGAGGCGAAACATAAATTTCCAGAGAAGGAAGAAATTTTCAGGTCATAAGGCAAATGTGCAAGTGAGGCTCGGATGTAAAGAAGGCAGCCACCGCCACGTTTGTCATCAAGGTCTTGTCGGTATAAGCTGAGACTATCTATAGCGAGGGCTGGTTCGGAAATTAGAAAGTGAGTACAAGATTCTGTGATGCACAAAACATCGAGGTCAACCTCAAAGGCCACAATTCTTATATGTGCCATCTTTTGCACGACTGACCTCGGGTTGAGAGAAACTATACTGAGCGTATTCCTGAGATGTAGGTTTCGCTTATTACTACTTATAAAAAGGAAAAGTTGGCCATGGAAAATTAAGTAGTAGGGAGGAAGTAAAGGGGAGGAAGCAAAATAGCTGTAGTCTGAAATTTTCGGAGATGTTACCACAAACTGAAGGGGCAGTATTGTATAAAACATGTTTGGACAGGACCCACGAAGGGGAATGCTATTTCGTGGGGTTAAAATAGTAGACATAGAAACAGGATTTTAGAATTTTGGGCATAATATAAGGAGTGATTTACGTCAAAAAACATACGTACAAAAATGACTAGGACATTGGGAAATGGGTACCTTCAGAGCACTGTAAGAGAACGGTCCGAAACGCAATGAGCATGAATAGGTTTATTATACCACCTCTCGGAGGCTGTCAGTCTCCTTTAAACACGAGAAAAATCTAAACCCATCTCACTCATTTTGTCTGTCCTTCAAATTCATTTATTTGGGGTGTCTGCTTAATCAATAGAGCGCGAATTTGGGGTTTGTTTTAAGTTAAAAACCTGATTTCTAAGGTAGAATAATAGCAAAAGTTAGAAAAAAGAAAGATATTTACAATATGGAGATTGAAAATTGAAGTTTGGTAGTTTCTGGGGTCGTAAGTATGTCGCCTTTCGTGGATCTTGAAGAACTTTGGCAACGGCCTGACTTTGAAACTATCTTCGGGTTGATCGAATTCGGGTGTCCACTGGTTGCTGGTTCTCAGTTTAATTGGGCAGTCCCTTGGAGCTGGTCGTATCGTACGTTTGCATATCCCAGATGGCTGATCATAGTTGTCTGGACGAGCATCATATTTGGGAGTTGAGTAGAAGCATTCAGCTAGTATGTTTTCGTGGGTCTGAGATTTTGTTGCAACAAAGCACGCTTCTGTAGCGAAGGTTTCGGTTGGCACATCAGGACTTTGTTCAACGGTAGCTTTAATGGAGGTCAGACTGCCACCGCCTCATTTATCAGCACGTCTCGTCGATAGAAATTAGAATTTGGGACAACCCGCCAAGCATTTGATATTAGTACATTTATCCATGTTTCAATTATGCAAATTATATCGGGGTTACATATTGCGGCAAAAGTTCTAAGTTAGGATATTTTGTGGGCTATCGATTCCGCATTTATAAGAGCGATACTTTGAGCGTTGTGTATGGGAGAAGTAGGCCGTCGTGAGAGAAAAATGACTCCCAAATGTATTTTGACTGTGTAAGGGGGTAAAGGAAGAGAACCGTGTGGTTGTTGGAAGATATGGCGATGCGTACGGCAGGATTTCGAGTGTATGGGTTAGAGTATATGGATTGAGTGTATCTATGGGGAGGTGGGTTAACTAGGTGGTAAATATATATAGATGGAAGTCTTTAAGCCCAAGTTTTTGTTGGGTTGTCAAAAGGTGCTAAGATGTTTGAAATGTTAGAGTGATTTGGTCTATCTGTTTGCCACTCAGGGGGATTTTGCGGGATTGAAAGGCAAATATAGAAGCATATTCCCTTCTTATGAGAGTTTAGAAAACTCATATTCCTTAGGTCCACGTAGTTATGGCGTTTTCGTTAATCTGGTGTACTTAATAAGACATTTTGGTTTGAATGTGATGTTCGGCTTCGGTCTGTGAATTGAAGGTCACTCAGACGGGCTTATTTTCGCTGCTTGAGTGAAGTATTTCGGTGAAGGCCATGCGGATGTTTAGGTCGCACGAATGTATAAGTTCAGTTCAGTTCAGTTTATTGAGGGAAATAGGCGTAAGCCTTTAAGTACCCTATTTGCAACGTAAAAAATGTGTGGTGTACAGATAGATGTTCTGGGCTGAAATAATTCGAACACGCCCATAATGGTGGGACAAAATGAGAAGGAGTTACAGGGGGTGAGCTCGACTTCTCATCGCTCTTGGTCATTTCGGAGCATAAATATGTCCAGATTCTTCTTAAAATTTTGTATAGATGGTGACATCACAACATCTGCGGGAAGCTCATTCCATGGTTTGACCACTCGAACAGAGAAGGAGAACTTCCGCACATCCAGCCGTGCCTGCCGGGTGCGCAGTTTGAACGGGTGACCTTGGAGGTTCGTAGTGGTAGCAAATTCAAAAAAGTATTCGAAGGCCAGACTACAATCCAACCCTTTTACAATGCGGAAGGCTTGCAGGAGATCTCCGCGAAGTTGCCTGTAACTCAAAGGAAGGAGGTTCAGATTTACTAGGCGGGTCGCATAAGGAAAGGAGCTTTGACCCCTGACCATCTTCGTGGCTCTCCTCTGGACTCTTTCGAGGCAGTTTTGATCCACAACAGCCCACGGCCTCCAAGCTTGTATGCCGTACTCTAAATGCGGCCGGACGAATGTTCCGAATGTCTTAGAGAAAGCTTCTTCGTCAAAGTCCATAAACGCACGCTTGATGGCGTACAGTACGGACATTGCGCTTTTTGCCACCCTCGAACAGTGGGCGGATGGTTTTCGGGAACTCGTCGTAAGCACACCGAGGTCCCTTTGGGCTTCGACTTCTTGTAGGGCTGCACCGCCCAGAAAGTAGTCTCTTGTGCTGGCCGACCTGGCTGTGTTGCCTAGGCGAAGTATGCTACATTTGGCAACGTTGAACCGCAGGAGCCAACGGTTTGACCACTCCTCCAACCGATTCAGGTTCATCTGCAGTCTGTCTTCATCGGCAGGAACCCGAATTACACTCCATATCTTCATGTCATCGGCAAACATTGCTACTTCGCATTCCAAAGCTCTTGCGGCATCGTCCACGTATATAAGGAACAAAATGGGTACCAGCATGGAACCCTGGGGGACACCACTCTTGACCACATCAGGATCTGCTTTTCCCCGACCGATGCACACAACCTGGTGTCGACCCAAAAGGAAGTTTTCGATCCATTTAAGGAAGTTGCCACCGACCCCTATTTTTTAAGTTTATGTAAGAGCCTCTGGTTTGGCACAGTTGTTGGTGTTCAGCTAGCCGCGTGGGGTTCATCACGGATAATAATATTGAATCTGCGTTTTGATTTATCCGCGCTTTCTGATGTTACCAAGCGTATGATCGTGGTGCACTTATTAGGCCTCTTGTAAACGTATTTTAGTCTGATAGCGAGTCGAAAATCGTAAAAGTATGTTCATGTTTCGCGATAAAGCTCTGCAAGCACGAGATGGTCGATAAATCTAACTGATCGACAGCGAATTCAACATCAGCAATGATTTATAAAAAGGGAGCTGTAGGAATTTATGTGTTGTTTTTTTACCACTAAGGGACTTGGATGAGAATTACTCCTTACCACCTAATTACAACCCTTCAAATTACTTTGGCTTTTACACCTCCCCAACTGAAACTCCATTTAGGTACAATTACCACCTAGTTAACGCACCTCCCCATATGTACCCTCAGTCCATACACACTAGCCCATGCACTCACACTACGCCATACGCATCACCATATCCTCCGAGAATCACACACCTACCTCCATTTAGTCCATCACTCACTCAAAGTACCCCCAGAAATCCTTTTTTTCACCAGAGCCCACCTCTTCCATATCCAACATCCTAAAGATAGCTCTTATAAATTCCAGATCGATTGTCAACAAAATATCCCAACTTAGAACTTTTGTTGAAATATATAACCCCGATGTAATTTGCATTACCGAAACATGGGCAAATGAGCTTATATCGAATGCTTCACTATATGTCCCAAATTATAATTTCTATCGACAGGACCGTGTTAATAACCGAGGCGGAGGTTGTCTTATCTACATCAAAACTACCATTGAACAAAGTGGTATTGATGTCCCAACCGAAACCTTTTCTGGAGAAGCGTGTTTTGCAACAATAAAATCTAATGCCCAGGAAAACATATTAGTCGGATGCCTCTACTCCCCTCCAGAATGTAGTAGTGATGACACAAGCCTCAACCTCTTAATAAGCAATATAGCTAACATAAAAACTGAATATAAGATAATTACAGGCGACCTAAACAGCCCAGAAATAGACTGGGTCGAATTATCAGCACCTACCAGGCACGAAGAATTCTTGTCTTCAATTATCTTTAATAACTGGACACAGATAGTTGACAAACCCACCCGAGGAAACAATATACTAGACGTTATTTTCACCAACGATATCTGGCCCCTCTATATGCACTACGACTGCGCAACCTTTGAAAGTGACCACAAAGCAATAATATCAACACTCCCCTTAAACGCAAAACTAGCACCCCATTTTGGTAACACCCGCCTAAACCCAAAAAAACTTGACGAGGACTCCATGAACAACTATATTAGATCATTGGACTGGAGCCCATATCTTCTTACAACATCCCCTATGGAAGCAGTTAACCTATTGTACTCTGTCCTATTTGTAATTCGAGATACCTTGATAGACGAAAGACTCCCGTATAAGAAATCACCAATCCCGAACTTCCTTTCAACTAAACTAAAAAAGCTACAAAAACAGCTACGCGACCCCTCTGTGAGTTATTTTTCCACACTTCGACGAATTAGGGAAATTCACGACCTAGTCACGAAAATGGAAACACAAAAGACCATAGCAGCAGAACATCGGGCACTAGAATCCCCCGAACGAACAACTCAGATGTTTCAGAAACTAATGAGTAATCATCGACTCTTAGGACCACGAACTATTCTTAATGAATTAGGGCAAGTTATAACCAATGATAAACAAATAGTAAACTTATTCAACAGATACTTCTCAGCTAACTACGCAGTCGAAGAGGGAACCATCCCCCAACCGACCGAGATGACTGAACGCATCCTTAGTGAGATCCATTTTAGTGAAGAAACTGTTAAAGTAGCCATTAAACAACTATCAAACACCAAATC